GTCACATTACCTCACAATAGGCTTGGGCCATAATAGAAAGGCGTGAACGCTGTTCACCCCAAACATCGGCAGTTAGCCGTTCACAAATCTCCTTCTGGAAAGTGAGTGTCATTGGCACACGTCCCAACCTCCAGACTTGTCGTCTACTCGCAATATTCTCAAGCCACTTGATAAGAAGCGGAGTTGAGATGTTGAAAGGTAGGTTACCGAGAATTCGAATCCGTGGAGGCCTAGTGGTGGCAGAGTCGCCAGTTTCTGTAAGCGCGGTCGAGTCGGCTGAAGGCAGTATTTGGTCCTTTTGGTCACCGCCTGTCTCAGGTTTTTCAACACCGGAACCCCACCTTTCAGGCCAGTAGACTGCATCAACCGGAAAGATGTCTTCTGTATTCATTTTAAGTATATCCTGGAGGCAAGAGAAAGCCGCGTAAATAGTCAAATTTAGAGAAATCAGTCAAAACAGTCCAAAGCTGCATTTGCAAACAGATTTACCCCGCGATAAATGTCCATTTTAACGCCAATTTCAGCCGCAGACACCTGCAATTCCTGTAGAGCTGGAAGAAATCGCCTATCCAGCTCGACGACTACGAGATGGCGTGGCCTCTGGCGCAAGATAGCTCGCGTCAGACTACCTGGGCCAGGACCAACCTCCAGTACGCAGGCATCTTGTAGGCTCCCCGCACATTTCACAAAGCTGTTGATCGAGGAAGGCTGGAGAAGGAAGTTTTGAGACAGATGCTTTTCTGCTCGTAGTCCATAAATCCGAATAATTTCGCGTAGAGACGGCAAGGCTGGCAGCCGCACAGAGGGCAGAGCCTAGCGGTTTTATGCGACAGGGAAGAAATATGTAACAAAAACTACTTAATCAGAAAGCTAGGAATTTAAAGCGGATGAAGGAGAAGAGGGTACAGCATGAAGAATGACATGTAAGAGGAACAAAGGCAGCGAATGTAAAAGAATAAGAGTGGAATGGCCGAAGACTAGACGACAATGGCATAAAATTCCGTTTAAAGCTGATGCTCTAGAACATGCAGCTTTGGTCAGAGTAATTTGAACGAATAAGCAAAGTACGCCAAAGGCGTTAAGGGCGAATAATAATGTTCATGAGTTTTTAGGCTTTTTTAACTACTAAATCTTGGACTTTCGGTATTCGGTCTCCGGCGCTGGCGAAGAGAATGGCTCGAACTGTCCCGGTCTGCGGCAACGGATGGTCGCGCGCAGAGAAGCACTGGATGGGACATCATTGAGGCCGACTAGATCAGTCATGATCGCAGCCGTAACATGTAAGTAAGTACTGGGTCCGAAGCTATTTACCTCGAAGTGAATACGCGTAGGTCGCACATTGTGCAGGAATTCGCTTTTGATTGTTTGCATGGACATGCGTCATTCGTCGGCCACATTCTCTCCGTACGACTGCCCAAGTAGACCCATTAATTAGATGCTTTCTGGTTTACCTATTGTCCTTGGTTCTTTTTTTGTGCCGCTGAAGCGGAAGTGGGCGAAAAGGCGTAAATCTCAGATCAAAAAGTGCTCAAACACATTAGCAGAAGGAATGCATTAAGCGGAAAATCGGGCGTGAGTGCTGCTAATAGGAACAAGGTATGTTGTATTAATATTTTTGGTTTCGTAATCCAAATATTTATAGTAACGACTGTGAAGAATTCTGCAAACTTTAGCCAGAAAAGAAAGACTATGGGAAGATAGTCTGTTTGGGCAAATCTGCAATCGGTTTGCGAATGCAGCCTTTTTGGTGGAAGTGCCCAACTCCGACAAAAGTGAGCAGGCTCAGTTTGGTTGGTTGTTCGACTGATATGCACACACCTAAAACGCTTTGGCGTGGAGGCGTCCCAGGGACAACGATTTCGCACACACATACGTACACCGGTTGCCCAAACGCATAAAATGGAGAAAGAGGGACAGTTTAACCGACAATGTTACTTACAATTTGTCGGGCAGCCGCAGTAGCATCGACACGACTCAATTACCCAAACGGGGACTGAGGTTTCACCCAATCTGAGCACCTAGTACTAGCCATCTGTTATCTCGAAGCAAAACGCTTAGGTTATATCACCAGGTTACGCGATTAACCTACTCTGAAGTCACTGAATTAGACTCTGCCTTGAACTTGCAGCTCAATTTTCCAGGTTTGCGTGCGGCTACTGATTTGTTCGGCTGACTAAGGACACATGTGTCAATAAAGACCGGATCTGCTGGGTGAAATGTGCCTCAGGGGGCCTACTGACAAGTTATCCAACAACAAAAACAGCCACAGACAAACCCTATCAGTTCGCTTGGGGCGTCGCGATAGTGCAACTGTCGCAATAGTTACAGTAAAGGAAGGGTTTTCACCTTAAAATGAGGGGCGGCTAATAAATATACTGACATTTCAGATGGTATTTCATACATAAGGACAGGCTTCTATGTGGGAGTCCGAGGATCCTATTGGTAATGGTCCTAATGTCGGCAATCGAAATGTCGAGCATATAACGCAGAACACCCGGAAACCGACTTAATTAACGGTTCCCGCGTTGTAAAAAGAAATATAAGCAGTAAAAAAGCAAATAATCAGATCCGTGTTAAATTCCTTAATACTGCTGTGGATACAGGCAAAGTTGGTTACAATCGTCATGCGCTATAAAGCTAATCCGCCGGCAAACTGGAAACCAAACTCTCAGAGGACAACCGCAAAACTAAAATACAAAACTAAAAGGTCACACCATTCTATTATTTAAAAGAAATTTTAGAAAAAGATTAGGAATAGGGTAAAGGAGAGGATCAGTATCCAAGAGATGGTAAAAAAGACGATTGTTAGGTAAGAATAACAATCGCAAACCAGTATAACGGCCCCCTATGACTATTTATCCGCTGAACCTGCTGAATGTCGCCACCAATGCCACTACAAAGTTCTATAACTGAGTAGTCGGAACACCAAAGTTTTTGTGCCTGTTTGTGAGTTATAACCTGCTCAAAACCACCACTTATGCCACTTATATCTTCTTCGACTGAATTGTCAACATAGCACGCCTTATGTGCGTGTTTTTGATTTGAACCTGCACAATGCCACCACCAATGTCACTACTAAGTTCTATGAGTAAGAAGTTAGTATAACAGACCACTACTCGGGGCTGGATACGATTAACTGACGACGGCTTATGAGCCAGAGATGGCCATTTAAGTCTCCATTGTCTTTGCTGGCAATACTATATGTCCGTCCTTTCGTTCTCGGACAATTACTGCTTGGCATCCATTATCCTGTCTCCCCGTCAAAAGGCGATTATCGGATGCATTTATA